AAAAAAAAAAAAAGAGAGAGAGAAAGAAAAAAAGTAACAGCATTATTCTTTTAAAATAAATGTTTTCTAATAAAAGGCCCCAGCTTTATAGACATGAACAAGCCTTTTCTTTTACTATTGGAGTTTGTTGGCAGCTGACCCAGGGAGTTTGAGAGCGAGAGGTGGAGGACCATCTATTTCCTGCAGCTAACAGGGTCACAGGTGGGCTTTGTAGTGGCCGCTCAGAAATCCTTCCCCAGCGATATGCCAAGGCCATCTCCCTCCCCTCTGGCTACCCATTCTCGAGGGAGAAGGGAGCAGGAAAAGGTTACAGTCACAGAGGGTGGGGAGGAAAGAACCTGAGCTGCAAGTCACTGATCCGGTGGCCTTGCCAATCTCCCCATCTGAGCTTTGGTAAAAGAAATCAGTGAGATACAAGCAAAGTCTCAAAGAGCCAAGCTGCCGACTGCACTCACTGGCTGAGTCCCCGGGGAACTATTTGTTTCATTCCAAAGGGCTATTTAACTTGGCTTCTTCATCAATGTTAAATCAGAAATCTCTGTAGGTGAAGTTTCCTATCAAAGTTTTAAAATACAAATGTTTCACATACTCTATTAATTCAATAAAACTTCAGTATGGCAATGACATGCATTGGGGTGAGCATCCAATGATCAGAGCTCCCTCCCCGTTAGCCTGGAAATGTGGAGATGTGTATCTGTATTAACATGTGAACTGCACACACGTTGGTGATTTCTTATATGCACTATTTGGAGAAAGTCAGCCAATAAAAACAAGAACCAGGTTTTTGTTTTCTTGTTTCCTATGGAAAGCCAGGATACAGAGCTATCTGCCAAATTCTAGCCAGGCGGAAGCAGAAGTAAACCGGTGGTTTGCTGAGTTAGAACCCTCCTGTCCACGTGTCTCTGGACACAGGGATAAAGCTAAAGGCATCACATTCGAAAGCCTGGGGTCATGTCCTTTTGTAGGAGGTAATGGAGAAGTCAGAACGACATGAATGTCTCATTTCTTCCGGCAAGAAGCAGAATACGTTATATAAAGAAAGGTCATGGTCTATTTCAAAGGCAGGGTGATGACGAGGAAAAGCAAGCTGGAGACACTAGGAGGAAGTGAAGGTAAGGGCGCTGTGAGTGAGTGGCAGAAAGAAGGGGTGCCTATGGAATGGTGCAAAGGTTAGGGCCAGGGGAGCCCTGATGAAAAGAAAAGGTCAAACGGCTACGAAGCCAGGAGGTTGAAGACCTGGGCCCTTCTGTCCCTTCTCAGGGAACCTGATGGATCTTCGTAGGATAAGGACATCCAAGCAGACATTCAGGCTTGAACCTGTCCTCGGACTCAATGGCAAAAGTCTTTAGGAAGTTCGGACAAGTGGGTTCCCAGAGGTTAACCTCATCCTGCTTGCACTGCCAACTCTCAAACCTGCTCCCAAAACCCTGACCAACGTGAGCACAGGTAATCATCCAAACCAAGGGGTTTTCAAGAAGGAGAGAGGGAACAACTACAGACTGTTAATTACTTGACAGCAACAGGCATTAACTGGGCCTGCCCGGGGCACAGGCAGCAAGGAGTAGGGCAGAGAAGAAAGAGCCGTTTTGGGAGGCACAGCTACCAGTGAACATAAAAATACTCAGCAAACAGGGTCATGGGCACTTTTAAGCTCCACAACTCACTTTAAATAAGACTTGGCCGGGTGCAGTGGCTCATGCCTGTAATCCCAGCACTCTGGGAGGCCAAGGTGGATGGATCCCTTAAGCCCAGGAGTCCGAGACCAGCCTGGGCAACATGGTGAAACCCCTCTCTACAAAAAAGAAAAAAGAAAAGCAAAACTCTGCTGGGCATGGTGAGCATGTCTGTGGTCCAAGTTACTTGAGAGGCTGAGGTGGGAGGATGGCTTGAGTCCAGGAGGCAGAGGTTACAGTGAGCTGAGATCATGCCAAAATGAGACTCTGTCTCAAAAAAAAAAAAGTGGGGGTGGGGGATGGTGTGGAAATCCTTTACCTTTAGGCTTTCGAACCCAGGTGCATTTCAAGGGAAGAAGGAGTTTGTTTCTGTGGTAGATACCGTCACCCATTTGCTATCTTCTGGAGAAGATCTAAAATGTTAGCCTTGGTTCCACTCACGTCCTACTTGCTCTTTGGGACTCTCTTTTGTAAATCACAAACAGCACGAGGTTATTTCTTTTCTAACTTTAGGGGTGCTTGGAAAACCTTTTTGCAGAATGGCTCACAGTCATTTTCCAGTGTTGTTGCTTTGGGGTTTTGGAAATGTTAAAATAACACAAGCCAGCAGAGTTCTCAGGGGAAGGCAGAGCCATTCCGAGGAAGAATGCAAAACCAAGTTTGGTGATGCACTTTTTTATTCAAAAGATAATGACAATGATATACTAAGTATACCTACTGGATTATTAAAATTGCAAAAAGGTCTATTTGAATGGGATTTCTGGAACTCGGAATATGATTCACCATCAGAACAACATGGAAGGATCCCAGGCTGGCGTACAGCAGTTCTAACTCAGCAGGAACAGAATTAAGGAGGCACGTGGCCAAGGAAGGAAACGTTTTTTTCCCCTTTTGCAGGGTACTGGCAGATAAAATTGCCTTCTGGCATTCTCCTAGCTTCTGGGATCCAGACATCCTATGCTTCTTCCCAGATCCCAAGAAGGCCTCCACCGAGACCAGCCTCCAAATTACCCCCCACAGCTCCCAACCCAAACTTGTGTCCCTTAGAGTAGCCAAGCTCAGCCCAACGGTCCTGCTGACCTAAGCCACACAAGGAGTGCATGACTGGGAAGCCCATGAGAACTGCTGCTTATCAATCGCGGGACTCTCTAGCCGTCTTAATTTTAGATGACAGGGCAGTATAATGGGAACTTTCAGAAAGCAGAGAGAGGATTCGGGACAAGATGGGGAGAACCCAGGCAGAGTAACCTCACCCGGAACTAGCTTGAGGGCAGTACCCTGAGCTACTTCTGCTTCAAGGTTCTAAGAGGAATTGGGCAACTTGTGCTTGGATTTTCTTTGTGTGGCAAGAATCACCTTGGCAAGGACAGTTGAAGGCTAAGGATTCCGGAAGGGGGTAACGTCGGGCTGGTGACACAGGTTCAGTGAGAAGGCTTTCTTGCCACCTGTACTCAACTCTACCTGATTCTGGAGGTGGAGATGCGTTGGGAAAGGAATGGAGGCAGACAGACAGAGCATGAGTCCCTTTGATGACAGTCTGAACTATGGACAATCTCTTAAAACTCTGGGCTGTAACTTGGCCACATAGAGCTCATCTTGCTACAGAATGTCTCCTAAAGCGAGCATGAGTCCCAAGAATATACAGGTTTTACACACCGAGAAGGTAAAGATACCAACAAGCAGACAGCACTGCCATATAAACATAGGGCACAATATTCTAAAAAGAACGGACTCCCACATGATCACATCTCTCAAATTAAAAAATAGTCACTTATACCAAGAACCTCACCTTTTTACCTGATGCTTCAAAGATCTTAATTAAGGTGCCTGATCTTCGGTCAGCTCTGAAAACATAAACCTATGGAATGAAAAAAAAAATCTAATTAGGATGAAATCAAGGATCAAAGATATTTATTGGCATCCTCCTGGGAATCCTATTTAAAAACTTAAGGGCCAGGTGCATAGCAGTTGTGCCTCTGCTCGCTGATGAGCATGAAGAAGTCAGCTGTCATTTTACCAACCCTGCAAAGAAAAGTGTCCTTCCATCCGGAGGCAGAAATCACTGCCACTGCTCCTGAACCACACTGCTCATGAAAGCCACACACAGTAAGACCCAAGGAGCTTCCAAATTACAAGTAAACAATTCACCTTTGAGAAAAAGCTAGGATTTTGTTTCTTGAAATATTTCCTTTATTCCTTTTTTAAAAATTAGTTGGTGGTATGGATTGGCCTTTACCCCTAGTGGGGCTTTAACAGGCATTTCAACAGAAGACAAAGGGATGGAGGGAGGTGAGTACTGTGGACAAACCAGTGGCCCAAAGTGATGTCACATACTATCAGAGTCACGTGATCTGCCTGGGTAAACAGGAATTTCATTTGGAAATGCGGAATTAAACATCAAGTAAATTCCTTGACTGTGGAACTTTTTAGAGCCTTTAGCATGTTCATGCGAACTATGCGTCTCCACTGCAAAGATGATCGCTGACATTTAACTTCCTAAATGTACTTGACTATGAAAGTTCTTTGTTCAGATGACATCCTGTGGGAAGAGTGTCTCATGAGAACCAGCGTAAGTCACCTTCCCATGAGATAAGGAACCGCCATCTTAGCATGAGTGCTTTTGCACCCCGGCACTGGAACCACCACCAAAACCCTCAAGGCCAGAGGTCCACCCTGGGGTCCCTGGGAATCAAGTCTGTACTAGCCCCAGTCCCTGGGAATGTGGAATTGTCAGCAGCTTTGCCACTATGATGAGTTTCCCCCATGCTTCTCAGGTGGTCTAACTCAAACAAGCATTTTTATGTAGTTTCTTTGTTAACTGGATCCAGGATTCCCGCTGTCTGGCTCTATCAGTTATAAATACCATTTTCCTTTTTTTTTTTTTTTTTTTTTTAACTTTATACCCTGCATCCCCCAGACAGCCAGTGAGAGGGGTTTGCGGGGGAGTCCCATTAAGACTTGACAGGGACTACGAAGCTCATCACAGTCATCTGAAGCGAAAACTACAAAACCGGATCGTGTTTTCTCCAACTAGGGAGAAAAGAAAGCTGCTATCGTTAGCATAGAGGCACCCGCATAACTATGAACTAGAGGTAGGCATTTTTACCATTTCTACAGAGAGGCCTGGGAGCCTGCAGCCCCTCCCGAAGAAGACAGAATCAATGCAAACGGCTCTTAATGCGTCTTTCTCTACTATTTAGAGAAATTCACGCAACTCGGAAAGAACCACCTCTTTCTTGAAGTAATGGAAGGTCACCTGCATGCTCCCTCCTCCCTGCTGGCTCGGGGTCCCGGTTGATCTGGTTTCAGTTTCCAAGAACCTCTTTCCACAGCATCAACGTTAGGGAGGAGGGAGGCGCATGCTCCAGAAACAGGAGCAGCAGCTCCTAACCTCTGCCCGGGGGGGATCCACAGAAATTACGCTTAGTCAAGCCTAGTCAGCTGGAAAGTTCGTCAGCTCCCTGATCACCCTGACCTTCTGGCTGCAGGCTCCAATTACCAGTGGTCTCAGCTCATCTGGGCCAATCCAGAATCCAGATTCCACTTCTCCAAGCCTTGGGAGATAGGACCAGAGTCTATCACAGGTCTACCCCTAGGGGCTCAGATCCAAAGCTCACTCCTCTGTTCACTCAGTCTTTCCCATCAGATAACCCACGGAGCTTCTTAAAAATGTGGGTTCCTGATCCATCTGCAGCTTCTCAGTCTGCATTTCCCGTACCTTCATGCTCAAGAACCAACGAGCAGAGTTCACAATTCAGGCCCCTCAGAGGTCATGTTTCCCAAAGGAATTCAGACAGCCCTAGATCCTGGGGTGGGTCTTTGGGCAGATACTGTAGTTTAGGGAAAGCCAGACCCACATATTTCCAGTCCAGCCTTTGTGCTGAACCAGTCTTGGGAATTCAATGTTCCTTCTAAAACACTGGGGAAACAAATATGAGAATAATTTAGGGCATAAATAAAGCCACAGAGATATCTGGGACTAGATCTAGCTCCATTAAGTCAAAGCCAAACTTGGGAAGGGTTTGGGATTTGAAGTTGCCCAGCACTAAATGCCATTCTTTTGAAGGACACCATGAGGCCAGGGCTCAGTCTTATAAATTATACACATACACCACATATCACACACACACAACACATACACACATACACACCACACAACACACCACACACACACACACACGCACACACACCAAACACACAACACACATACACAACCACAAACACACACCACACCCGCACATAATACACAACACACCCACACCACCACACACCACACAAAAAAACACACCACACACACACACCACACACACAAACACACACACACCCCACATATCACACAAACACACACAAACACATGCCACACATACACACCACACAACACACACACACAACACACATACACAACCACAAACACACACACCTGCACA